ACAACAACAACAACAACAGTGCTCCCATGCTTCATTCACTCAAACAGTCTCTTGATCAGAGTATGCTCATTCATATTCTGGGATTCCCATGTGCTGGGATTCCTATTCTTCTCAATATTAGCCATAACTTGTTTCTGATTCACACAATCAAATGCCTTTGCAGAATATCTAAATAGATGGGGAAGTATACTCATGGCAATGTTGTTAAAGATGTCTGTTTTTCCTAATTGCTAACCCAAAGTTAAAGGTTTCAAATCCATCAGCTGCTTCATGGGAGATGGATGGACAATTAACTCCAATGCAATTAACTGTCTACGAAAACCCATTGGATGGTCAGCTGTGAGTTGGTTCTGACTCAACAGCACATAACAACTACAATAAATATAAATATTTTATTCCTGGATACTTTTGCAAATGAAATGTTTCACTTAAAATTTCAGTAAGTAATCACTGATATGTAGGAAAACAATTGTCTTTTGTTTATTAACTTTGTATTTTGTGGCACTGCTTTACTCATTTACTAGTTTCAGGCCATTTTTTTTGCCTGATTTTTTTTTCATTTTCTATATAGAATCATGTTGTCTACAAGTGAACAATGTTTCATTGCATTCTTTTATATCTATACATCTCTCATTTATTTTGTATCTCATTGCACTAAGCTGGTAAGTACAGCTATTGTGCATCATTTAGCTGTAGGGCTATTTTGTATACAGTGACATACAACAATATGGGTGGATCTTAGGACTTTATGTTTAAACAATAGGTAAAGCACATATATATATAAAATTTAGTTCCTTTTGCATAAAGTTTAAAAAATAAACAATATTTAACCATATTGTTTAGAGTTTTATGTATAGGTAGTAAAACTGTTTTAAATCAAGAATGTAGTTACCATAAAAATCATTCTCATCCAGGGAGAAGAAAGAATTTGAGACATATGCAAGATGCAGGAGAACTTCTGCTTTATAACTTTATGTTATTATATTGTACATTTATGTTGTACATAGTTGGGAATATATATATATATATATATAATGTTTCATAATACAAGAATACAAGGTTTTTTAAAGCAAATGCCTAAAACCATGTATTAAAATTATTGTTGTTTTGTACCATCGAGTTGAAACTGACCCATCGATAACCCTCCAGTGGGTTTTCAGAGGCAGTTAATCATATGGGAGGAGATTTTCCATCCTTCTCCCCAAAGGATAAAAATTAAAAAACAGTGGTCAAAAGAATCCTTATTTATGCCTTCTCAGATTTATATGTGTTAAATGATTTTCCATTTAAACAAAGTAGAAGAAATGTAATATAATATATACAGCAGAATGCTAAATATTAGTTTTGCCATGTATGGGTGTAAGGGACAAAAGTAGAAGTAAAGCAAAGAATAGAAGTGCCCATAATAAAAATTATATGTGTGATACAATTCATTCAGCAAAAAATTATTGCAATTTGGCCATTTTTATTTTAATAAATATTGAAGTTTTAAATTTGTCTATATCACTTACTTTTTAAAGGATTTATTTTTATTTTATATTGGCTTGTGTTTGAAATTTCTTAACATATAAAAATATCACTTGAATAATGATGACCTATCACACAGAAGAAAACCATTTGGGAGAGGAAAAAGCAAAGCAGAATAGTTTATTCTGTTGCAAATATTTTTTAGATATATTACTCTGTCTTTGCAGTGCAAAAGAATATAGATATCCATATACATTTAAAGTTCAATTACATAAAATATTAGAAATCATTAATGGTGATATTTGCACAACATGGTGAACACAGCATAACTAAATTGCATGTGAAGTATATTAACAAGGCATTCAGTGTGTGTGTGTGTGTGTGTGTGTGTGTGTGTATTAAATAAATTAACTATATTGTCTAAAGTAGTTTACCTTCGAGATCAGAGAGGGAAAAAAAATCAAACCTAAGTCTTTGTGTTTTGAGATTACATGCTTTTTCCCACAAAATCAGCAGCATTAGGAAGTAGATCCTGCTTCACTCCATGTCCTTCCCCATTCTTCTGATGACATGATTCAGATATACTGCAGGGGAAAGGATGGAAAACCTAAGAATGGAGTAATTTCTAGATATTTTTGTCTGATTTTCCATTATTTAGGCAAGAAAGTTTTATTTAAAGTGAAAACATTTTCTAGAACAGAAATAACCAAAACTAACAATTTTTCCTCCTTTCTTAGGATTCATTGGAAGATAATGAAGAAGGCATTAATGACTTAGTGTCCTCTAGATTTTCTGCAAATACTCACAGCTTAGCAAGTTGCCTGTCAACCGTAAGCATTTCTCTAGTACATGCTGGAAATTTCTTTTTGTCTCTTTTTTATTTTCTGTGTATTTCCAGAGAAAGTATGACTGCAGTGAGGAGAATGTGTGATGGTGACTTCAAAGTCCTTAACAGGCTATTTGCCAACACTTTCATTTTTCATTTCTCCTTTTCACTTTCGTTTTTGATGGGCTTTTACTAAGGCAGCTAATTTCCTTCCTTCTCTCTTCATATTCTTCACAGAGATTTTTAAGTTTCTTCATTCCCTATCTTGGCAATACAGAAAGATACAAATATGCACATATGGGAGGTCTCAAATTAAATAAAAGCATTTGGAATGATTGAGCTTTGGTAACCCCCTCAGCCCAGCCTATAAACAATTACAAACCTTTGATGAAAAATGTCCTTGCCATCATTCTGTCAACTCCGTAACCATCCCTAACACTGCTGTAGATTATCTTCCTAGCACAAATACCTAATCAAGTTCTACTTCTCAAAAACTATCCGTAAGTTCTCACTGCCTACAGAGTAAGGCGGTATTCCTTATTTCCATATCAAGACTGTTCTCGAGAAGAAGGCTTTAGGTATCTCTGTGTCCTTATAACAATCTGTGTGTCTGTAAGTCCTTGTCTTTGTTTCTCCAATATCTGTCTGTTGCTCTAATATTCTCTTTCTTTTGACATTTGGGCAACTTTCTTAAAGAATTCTCAAGCAGGCTCTGACAGGAAGTGGACCTACCTAAATGTGCCTGATGCAGACTCAGACACTGTAAGTTTCCAATCTTTTCTTCTTCTTTCCAACCACATTTCATGAGTTTTCTGGTTTGGGAAATATGACTTTATGGAGAATTTTTCCAGCATTTGACTTTTTCTGATTTGTATACCATTCATCAGAATTTCTCTTTAAAAAAACTAATTAGACATGGAATTTGAGTCACAATAGACTTAGTGATAACAATACATCTCCTTTTATAAGACTTCCTGTATAGATTAATGGTTACATCCTCAACAACTATCGGAAAGGTTGACTGTTTAAACCTCCCTACAGTTAATTTAGAAGAAATACCTGTCAATATCCTTCCAAAAGTCACAAGCTCATGGAGTCAAAATCAAATGACAGTCCACTCTTTTTTCTTTTTCTTTGTTTTATTATTCTCATTGCATGACTGTATCTCAACTTGTTGATGGATATTGAGCTGATTCCAATTTGTGGCTATTATAAATAATAAAATTCCTCTAAAAATGCTTATATAAAAATTGAGATTTTTTTATCTAATATTCTAAAAAGTCATACATTCATTAACCATTAGAATCTGTGTAGCCATCAGAGAACACATGTTAGTAGGGTTATAAGAAGGAACTCTGGTTGGTTAGTTAATAGTAAATTATAATACTATCTGAAAGGCTGTGCACCTCCAGAAGTTTAAATCCACTGATGACTCCACAGGAGAAAATGAGCATTCTTCTCCCACTGTAATTTATTATCTTAGAAACGTGATGAAGAGTCACTGTGAATCAGAACTGACTCAACATCAGTGAGTTTTGGGTTTGAATGTAATAAGATAAACATCTCTTTTAAAAACAGTGTGGCTGATATGGTGGTAGTGCATCTGACCTTCATTAACTCCACAAGGGAGAATAGTTTTTTTCAAAACATCCATATTACAACACTAATTCCCAAGAGGTCAGATATGCCTCTCACACTCCCTGTCAACTCTAATACCAATTGTCCCTCCCAGGGCTCACAATGCTCTACTACTATATTCACTAATCTGTTGCAATGGCCATATAGAATGCACAAGCAGTACCCACAATTATGGGATTTATTAGAGATATTAACAGGTAGAAAATAAGGTACAATTCTTCAGTCAAGCAGTTCCTTAAGCATACTTGAAGGTCCTTTGACCTTCAACTTCAATGCTTTTTGTTAGTGGTGTTCTTGTTGTTTGTGTACTGTAGAGTCTGGACTGACCCACAGCTGACCTTCCAGTGGATTTTCAGAGGCAGTTAATCACTCATGAGGAGATTGTCTATCCTTCTCCCTCAGAGCAGCTGGTAGCCTCAAAATGAGTGCCTTCATTCTTTTAGTTCTACTAATTATGACATCCATTCCTCCAACAAATTTTATGATATTTGTATTTTTTTGTTTATTTGTTTTAAGGTTTGCCTATAGTGAATATAGCACTTACTTGTCAGTTTGCTGTAATGAGAGGTTGGCTTATATGTTCCTGATTATTTTATAATTTATATATGTATATGCTTGCTTGTTTACAGTTTGATTTTATGCATATAACACGCGTCTATCAGTTAGATATATTGGAGTGACTTGCAGGTTGTTGTGATTCTGGATGCTGTGCCACTGGTATTTAAAAAACTAGCAGAGATACCCATGGTGGACAGGTTTTCGTAGACCTTTCAGACTAAGACAGACTAAGAAGCAGTACAAGTAATCTGGTTCTGAAATAACAATCCTTTGCAGACCATATGAATAACTGAAGAACATTTTCAGATATATACTTAAAGTAGAGCCCCTCATGTTGGAAGACACTTTAAAATAGAGAAACAACTACAAACTTAATCATTGATAATTGAAATATGAAATATGTAAAGTTTAGGATATTTTAATCTAGATATCTAGGAAAATTGTAATTTACCAAAAATTAAATGTAACACATAAAGATCAGTATTCTAGTCATTAGCAAGCTAAGATGCACTGTTATTTGCCATCTTGAATTAGAGAGTCATATGATCTATTATTCCAGGAATGAAAAAATGAGAAAGACTGGTGTTGCATTCATGGTCAAAAAGAACATTTCAAGATCTATTTTGAAGTACAACAATGTGAGTGATAGGATATTATCCATACACATTACAGGGAAAACCTGATAATATAACAATTATTAAAATATATGTATCAACCACCAAAGATGATGAATACTTCTTTTGCCCAAACAGAGCAAGAGAACATTTTATGGCTTAAAATCAAGAAAATTTTATGTCAGGATTATAACTTTTCTCCATAACTAGTCAACCTATATGCTGAGGAAATTGTTCAAAAGCTGGACTCTAAGAAGAAGAATGTGACATCAGGATAAGAGGAAGACTCATCAACATCCTGAGTTATGTAGATGACATAATCTTGCTTGCTGAAAGTTAGAAAGACTTGAAATGCTTGCTGCAGAAGATTAAAGATGACAACCTTCACTATGGATTGCATCTCAACATCAAGAAGACAATCCTCACCACTTGACCTATAAGCAACATCACTATAAATGAAGAAAAGATTGAATTTGCTAATTATTTCATCTTACATGGATCCAAAATCAATACCCTTAGTACCAGAAGTCAGGAGATCAGGAGACATATTGCAATGAACAAGTACACTGTCAGTGACCTCTCCAAAATACTAAATAATAGTCATGTTAGTTTGGAGACTAAGGTATACCTGATTAAGTCAATAATCTTTTCATTCACTTGATATATCTCCAAGAGCTAGACAATAAATAAGGATGACAGAAGAATTTATGCTTTTGAATTGTGATGTTGAAGAAGAGTACTGACTATCTCATGGAATGTGAAAAGAACAAACAGATATACCTTGGGGATGGTGCAGCCAGAATGCTATTTAGAGGCAAAATTACAGTTTCATCTTGAATACTTTGGGCATGTTATTAGGAGCAGCTCTTGTTTGCAAGATATATCATGTCTTGAAAGGTAGAGAGTCATCAAAAGAGAGGAAAATCCTCAACAAGATGGATTGACACAGTGTCCATAATAATGGACTTAGTAGGTATTTCAGAGATGATGAGGATGGCACAGGATACAACAGGTTTCATATATGTTGTTCATAGGGTCACTATGAGTCATACTTGATGAGATCTAATGACAACAAACCAACTCTTGTAGTATGTAATAGATTGAACTTGCAGTCAAGTTATATCAGTAAAAATTGGTGAATGGGATGCAAAAATTAGTAACAAAGAAGAAGGACTGATATTTACAAAACATGGACTTTTTGACAGAAATAAGTCTGGAGATCAAGTGATTATTTGTTCATTGTAAATGTCTTTTTAAAGCACATAAACCTGGACCTCACCTGATGGACTACATAGGAAGCACAGTGACTACATTTGTAGAAAGTGTCCAAGAAGAAACTCAATAGCAGCAGATTATCAATTACTCATGTGCAAGTTCAAATTGAAGTTGAAGAAAAGTAAAACAAGTCTGCGAGAACTAAGATACAAATCTGAGTCTATCACATCTGATTTTAAGAATTATCTAAAAATAGATTTGATATATTGAACCCAAATTATCAAACACCGGTTGTGGGATGACATCAATGGTATCATCCATCAAAAAAGTAAAAGTTCATTACAAAGACAGGGAGAGAGAAAAGAAAAAAAAATGGATGTCAAAAGAGACTCTAAAAATTGCACCATAAAGTAGCAAGGCAAAAAAAAGTGGGGGAAATGCTGATGTAAAGAGATTAACAATGCAAATGCCACACATGCACTGGGGAGCTGCTAGCTGAGCCACACAATCTCCGGGGAGCTGCTTCCTGATGCCACACGCATGCTGGAGAGCTGCTTGTTGGTGCCATGCATGTGCCAAGGAGTGATGCACCAGGGAGCAATGTGCCAGGGTGAGCAGGAAAGCTAGAATCTGAGTGAGTGAGTGAGCGAGTGAGTGAGTGAGAACCTGGAACTCCAGTCTTGTCACCAGCCCATGCTCAGAACGCTACTGCCAATGTGCACTGGGATCGACGCTGGAACTTGAGTGAAGTACTTTGGGGAGGGAGTCACTGCTGTTTGACTGGATCACGTGGTACTCCTTAATTAAGCTCAATCAGAAGGGAGTGAGGCTTCTGGAGCATGTTCTTGAAGGGAAAACCAAGACTTCTTGGTTTTTTAATCTCTCCATCTTGTGTTTTCTCACATTCAGTCCATTAACTGCCTTTGGCCCAGAGCTCCTTGGGCTACCCTAGCTGTGCCAATTGTCTGACAGAGAAGACTGCTTCCATAGGCCTTTTTTTCTATTGAACTGAGAGAAACACAGGCAGGGTAGTTACCCCACCCTATTCTGGAATTATGACTTCAGATCAAGAACCTGGTATCGCCTCAGACATGGAAAAACTCTACCACAGCAATGTCACGTAGGAAGCAGGCTACCTCACTCTCTACACAAGTCCAAAATAAGATGTCATCTCCCAAAAAATAACACAGGACCAATGGATCTCATGAAGAGAGAAAGTCTGATGAAACTTTCTGACACAGAATTTAAAAGAACAATGATTGAATATTTTCAAAGGGTGAAAGACAAAGTTTAAGAATTACAGGATAACACAATCAAAAACAAGGAGAGGCTTAAATAAAACCAATCCAAAACAATGCAGAGAAAATAAATGAGACATTAGAGGCTCTGGAAGAATAAGAAACTACATGCAAAATATGAGGACCAATGTTTCAGATGCTGTAAACATGATGGAGGGACACATGGAAAGAGTCAAAGAGATGGAACACAGAATCAGTGAAATAGAAGATAGAATTGTTACCATTGATCTGTGAGAACATAAAGCAGAATAAAAAAGGAAGAAAAAAGAAGAAAGCCTAAGAATAATGTGGGACACAATCAAGAGAATAACATACACATTGTCAGAATCCCAGAATGAAAAGAAGCAAGTAAAGGTACTGACAAAGTTGTGGAAGAATTACTAGAAGAAAACTTCCCAGGCATAATGAAGAATGAGGGAATATATATTCAAGAAGCTGA